TTCCAAAACCCTACAAGAAATGGACTAAGGGTAAAATGATCATTTTACCCAGAAATGGGTGGCACCGTGCACACCATTAGAAAGACAATGAAAAAATTAACAAATTTAGACTCAAAATCACCTGATTCAGAGTCCAAACGAAAAAGATATGAAAATAGAACAAAGAGGCATCCTCCGTTTAAGAGATACCATGGCCCTATATCACTAAAATTGTCATAGCTCTCACTACGGTTGGAGTTTTTGTGTGTGGTTGGTACCATTGGAAAGCTAACTTCAAGCTCTTGAATTTAGGCTCAAGAACGACCAGATTTGGATTTAAAACAAGTGAGTCTGAAGTTGGTGCAACAAAGCTGTCGAAGAAAAACTGAATTGGGAAGGCTTCAGAAAGGATCAGTCGACCAACGACAAGGATCAGACGGCCGAAACTCAATCATCAGCCGGCTAATGGCAAGGATTAGTCTGCCGAAACGACCTTTTTCACTAGCAAACTCACTGAAACCGGTCTCGAGAGGCTATCAGCCGACTGATATCTGCTGTCAGCCGATCGATACTCCTAATAGCAGCAGAAACTGCTGTTGCAAAGTGTGGGGAAGGTGCTCGGTCCAACTCTAAACTATACATGCATCCCATATGCCCCGAAACAAGTTTTAAAACATGCCAAAGTCACAATTAAACATTTATAACATGCTAAACCAAAAAGAATCCATAGATCATGCTCCAATGCATGAATTTTGCATAAAAACTCATAAATCGCCCCTATGAAGGCTCTAAAACCAAAATTTAAGAGTTTTGTGAAATGTAGACATGCTCGCAAACATAAAATGACATTTAAAATGCGTACCAATGGCCCACAGCCTCAAAATATTTCCAATGCAAAATATGACCTCTCAAACCTCAATTTTGCATAAAATTGCGTAAAAAGGTGAAATACAATACTATAGCATATAAATGAAAACGAAATGGTGTTCGGCCCTTGGTCATACCTCATACATATCAAATGAGTGCTAAATGAGGAATTTCATACAGAATGCACACTCCGGTGTAAAAGTAACATACAAAAACCCTAGTTTTTCATTTTTTTTTCTCATTAAAGGCAATTTCAACATTTATAAAAATACAAGGATTTCAAATGGAGTTTGGCCCTTGGCCACATATCATATATATAAAATGAATGTCAAAAAGTTTACTTTGGCATAGATTACAAGTTTCAAGGCAAAAATAACATTTTGGCCTAAGTATGTGTTACAACTTTAAAAGTAAAAATCAAACATGCCAACACTTGCATGTGAACAAGAATGCACTTAAAAGAACTTCAATCCATCGAAACGACCTAGACATGTTGTGCATCCCAAACCAAGGCATCTGTACCTAAAAACAACCCAATAACTTTGGGGTAAGTAAAAAAGTTACTCTTAGGGAATGAGCATGCATAGACCTAACTTTTTACAAGATTTTCACATTAACATGAAATAATTCAAAAGGATCATGCTACCTAACGTCTATGTCATAAGTGAGACTCAGGGATCATCCTAAGCTACTTTAAAACATTTCTAGCATAAACTACAATATTTATACAATTAAACAATATAGAAGCATACTATACAATGCAACAAGATATAGATTCTCAAAATTGTTAACTTAAAATCTAAAATATGAAATCAACTAAAGTGGTTCATGCCACCTAGTGTCAATGTTCCAAATGAGTCTAAGGAATCGTCCTAGGCTACATTAGAATAATAAAACATAAATCACAATATTGATGCAATTCAACCAATATTGGAACTTCCAATACAACGCATAAAGCATGATTTCTCAAAGTTAAAATCCTGAAACTTAAAATGGGAAGTCAAATAAGAAACAACAAGTTACAACTTCATCTAGTTATTAACTTGAAATAAAATGCAAAATCAAACAAGGTGGATACTCGGACATCATGCCGGATCAGACCGACAACGTGGTTACTTTAGGGTTACTAGCCCACGGGTAACCACCTTATGTGCTCACTAAACTTGTAGGAGGATAATCCCCCGCACTAGAACCATGCCCTAGCCGTAGTCATAACAACGACGTCCCAAGTTTTCAAAATTAACAAATTGTGCAACAACGTATATATCAACATGTATATACAAGATAATCAACTATCTACCATGCACGACCGAATTTGGAAACACATACATTACATGCTCTAAGTCCACAACTACTATGGCATGACAAATGTCGAATCTTCAGAGTGCGATTCATTACACGCTATAATAACATCACATGTCGAATCTTCAGTGTGCAATTCATTACACGCTAAGACAATATCATTCAATATTGAAAACATAAACTCATGAATCTAATATAAGTCCAAAATCATAATTTAAACATACAACCAACATCAAATACATGATTAAATCATTAATGCAATAGAAACGAAAATTAATTCAATAAACTAATTAATTTCTCTAGGTTTCAAATCTCCACCAAATAGTGCCTAATTAATACATATTAAACAACATAGCATTGTCATTACATATATCAATTCAAAAACTTAATTAGGTCATTGGAATAATAAAGTATAATTTAATTAAATCATGATAATTAAATCTCTAGATTCTAAAGCAACTCCAAATGGTCCCAAGTTAATATATGCTAGTAAACAAGTCCTAGTCATTACAAATATCAAGTTAAAAACTTAATTAAGCCAATGAAACCATTAAATATATTTTAATTAATTCTTTTAATCAAAATCTCTAGATTTTTAAACTCATCCAAATACTCCAAATTAACATGGGTTAAAGAACATGCCAATGCCTATTTTAATATCACATTTCTAGTTGATTTCATGCTTGTTACAACTATGTGAATTAAACTTTCATAAAATAAAATTATTAAATAAAAGTTGCAATACTTAGTCAAATAATCCCATTTTAATATATGTTAACAAACATACCAATGCCTAATTTACTAACATGCCACAATTTAATTCTAAGTTGTTTACCATCATGAGAATTAAATCTTAAACATAAAAAATAATTAAATTAAATTCTAAAACTAGAACAAAGGCATGCATACAAGTTGTATAAGCTTCTAAAATCATCAATACAACATTAATATAAACCTAAGACATCCCCTACCTCAATTTGAGATGAAAATCTCAAAAGCCACCAAATGGAAACCGTTCCAAATCCGACGATACTTCGGAGTTTTGTCGGGGACAACACGGTGAACATTAAACCCCAAGGAAGTCCTACCAAAATCCTAACTTGGATTCAAACCCGAACTTGAAAAATGGCCAAAACGGGATTCCAATCGGTTGGAATCGAAGGCCTCGCCAAGACGAACATTAAACACTAAGGCACTATGGCGTTTCATTAAAGGGAGGAGGTTCAAAAGAGGAGAAAGAAGGTGGCGGCCATGGGAGAAGCTTGGCCGGCCATGGGGGAGAGAGAAGAGAACTTTGACTTTTTATTTCTAGCACCCACTATTTATAGAATTTCAAAAAATGCCCCGAACGGGCTCCGTCGGGTCCGGAAAAGTGGAATTTGAGCAGACGCGCTCAAACGGCAAAACTCCGTGAACGAAAAAGAACCAAAATGAGAAAAAATGAGCAACAGAAGAAATGGCATAGAAAACTGAGTCTCGAGCAAAAAGATAAGCCCCGAACAAGTTCGGTAGTAATAGGGGCCGAAATCCTTAAAACTGGTGAAAACGTCCGGAAGAAAATTCTAAGAGTACACAACTCAACGAAATGTGAAAATGAATCCTGTATGAGGATCCAGGATCAAAATGAGGCAATTTACAATAACTTTCGTTAATTGCATAATGGCCCCTCCAAGAAGGGTAACTGCAAAACTGGCCCAGAAAGAAAATATCTTTTAAAAATATTTTCTTAAAAACTCCCAAAATAAAATATCTTCAAAAGATATTTACGAAAAACACCCCAAGGAACAAAAATGTTTCTGAAGAACTTTGCATCCATACCCTTATGGACACTAAGAGCAACCAGAGAGCTCTTCTACAAAAGTAAAGATACGTATTTCGTGAAAACCACTTAGAATGAAGGTACGTGAAGTCAAAAACCAACTCCGAGCATGAAAAGTGAGGTTGTGCCAAAAAAAGTGACAAACAGGGAAAAAGACGAAAAGTGAATAGTGTCTAAAAATTGAAAATGTGGAAATGACGCGGTCATTTAAGGAAGTTATCAATCCAATGGAAAGAGTCTCAAAAACCATTTCCGAGCACTCGTGATGAAACCAAGTGATGAGAAACCGAACTCGAAAAAGAAAATTTAAAGAAAAAAATTTATCCGTAAAATTTGAGAAAAAAGGAAAGGAAGGAAAATGACCGGGTCATTACAACCTACCCTCTTTAAAGAAATTTCATCCCCGAAATTAAGAACATCTAAGGAGAACCGAACTGAGACTGAACGCAAGTTCAAACCAAAGGACAGATCATAAAGTGCTAAAGGACAACTCCAAAAGCCTGAAGACCATCTGAAGAACGTGAAACCAAGAACTGAGAGACAACTCCCCAAACGAATCAGTATATTAACTCAATGTCAATAATCGAAAGAATCCCAAGACAACGAAATTTTGAATCAAGATAAATGGCAAAAATGATATGGCAGTACGAACAACGACCAGAACCCGCCCACGACGTACTCAAGTGTGTGGTACCAATGACAGTGTCTAGTGCCCGCCCACACTTACTCGTCAGTAAGGTAGCATCGACAGCAACTGGCACATGCCACACAACACACAACTTCGCATGGTAGCATGACAATATAAGGCACTAGTTCATAACATTTCCTCAACAAGTCAGCCCGGAATAACTTTTCGATACAAATGACATCAATGTCACTGTAGTCACTACCGAAAGCATAGTGGGAACCAAACATCTATGAGAATTGAATGAAAAATAGTCTAAGGTCATCCTGCAGAACTATTTGGCCAATCCCAAAACTCTGACAACAATGCCATAGGCACCACCACGCTTAAGGCCACAAATCCTCAACGCTAGCAAAACCAACGACTCCTACATCTGAAAACGCTAAAAACAACAACACTAGTGACGAATCCACAGCCTGACAAGTCTGTGCCCTCAAGCCAATGGATTGGACCCCACAAAACCATAAGACACTGTCCTGAAGCAGACCTATCCTGAGGTCACAGACAGAAACAAAATGCTGGATAAAAATTCCTATCATGGACAACTAAATCCTCAAAATGGAAGTTTACTACGTAGCTCACTCCTGAAAATCCCGACAACCGAGGTCATAAAACCCCAACATAAGTGCAGGAAAAATGAAACAGCATAAACCAAATACTCACATAATATATACTTGCAAAGTTAAATTGCATAAATCAAATAATACCTTAGTACTAAGCACACAGTACACATAAGGTAAATGAAACATGCCACCTATCACATAGGGGTCAAATAAATAGAGACACGCTATACACCACCAACGGCACTAGCATGGTAAACATATACTGTATAAGCAAACGTATCATCTACATCCTCATACAACTACCATATAACTAGAATGCCTACATCCTCATACAACTACCACATATTCTAAACATGTTTCTAAGGCATGCCCGAAAATAATGGTGCTCATAAACATGTAAAAGGGATCATACAAATGGCAAGTTCGTAAAAATCAAAAGAAATGAATGGAATAGCTCTTAAGAGACACCAAGCAGAAAATGCACAACAGAACCTGGATGAGTCCAATCTCTCCCTACAAGGAAATGAATCATCCCCCAAACGACCACTAAGGTCCCCGAAACATAGGGTCAGCAAGTCTTTCTTAAGACCAACTCATACACAGATGGAATTCCAACACCACATGAAACAAGACAACAGTGTAATAGATAGCTCCAATGCTAACCGTTATGAGACATCAATAAGAAGAACACCCCTCAAGTGCCAGTGAGTTCTATAGGGACTCTAAAGGATTCAACTGGAACCCCAACACAATGCCGTATGTCTCCAAAGACAAGGGAGAGTAATTAATTGCACCAATGCAATTAATTACACGAAACTGCTCACATCCCAACCGTAGCTCATAAGAGCTGTCCAAGGAAACACTAGAAGGATCCTAGGTCAACACACTTATCCAAATCCCGAAACCATCATCCTAAGAAAATAAGACACGAGAACCTCGCCCTGAGGCTCCCAAAGTAACTCCCGACTCCCCAAGGAAGGACTCGAGTCAGTCCTGACTCATCGTCCCATGACGCTAGAAACAAAGACCTCAATGACATCATGACATCAAGACCACTACGAAATCCTAAGAGATGACACTGACACCTCTAACACCACCATGACTACCTCATGCAGAGACAAAAGAAAATGAGACGAAACGGTGCCTCCATGTCCTATGTCTCATTTCGCCAGACGGAGACTGCAACACTGCGCTCACTTGAGCCCAAACGAGAAGACTCTCCGCGAGTCAAGACTATGGGGTGAGTAAACAAGTTACTCGTAGGGAATGAGCATGCATAGACCTAACTTTTTACAAGATTTTCACATTAACATGAAACAATTCAAAAGGATCATGCTACCTAACGTCTATGTCATAAGTGAGACTTAGGGATCATCCTAAGCTACTTTAAAGCATTTCTAGCATAAATTACAATATTTATGCAATTAAACAATATAGAAGCATACTATACAACGCAACAAGATATAGATTCTCAAAATTGTTAACTTGAAATCTAAGATACAAAATCAACTAAAGTGGTTCATGCCACCTAGCGTTTATATTCCAAATGAGTCTAAGGAATCATCCTAGGCTACATTAGAACAATAAAACACAAATCACAATATCGATGCAATTCAACCAACATTAGAACTTCCAATACAACGCATAAAGCATGATTTCTCAAAGTTAACATCCTGAAACATAAAATGGGAAATCAAATAAGGAACAACAAGTTACAACTTCATCTAGTTATCAACTTGAAATAAAATGAGAAATCAATCAAGGTGGATACTCGGATATCACGCCGGATCAGACCGACATCGTGGTTACTTTAGGGTTACTAGCCCACGGGTAACCTCCCTATGTGCGCACTAGATGCACTTGTGCCTTAGCTCCGAAAGACCGAGACTCAAGATAAACAAAATTACAACTTCATCTTCAAGTTTTGACTCTGAATTTTCCAACATATAAATTTATATATCACAATAACTACTTATTCCTAAGAATATTAACTCCCTCCAACTAAGTTTGATATCAATCCTAGCTAGGAATTAAATCCCCTTCTTTCAAGCACAGTGAAGCATATCATCTTCACATCACATCGAACATGTATATATCGAGATACAATCATACACCAATTAAGCATAACACAATATTTAACGTTGTTCACCCAATTCTCTAGGGATACGTCACAAAGAGAAGAACTTTCACTATAATGAATCAAGGAATTAAGAGAACTTTCACTCTGGGGTGTGATAAAATAAAATGGATTCACAATATGTATCTATGATGAGCATTTTGATGGAAAAAAAGAAAAAAGTTTTATTAAGTAAGATTCTATATTTATTTTAAGGGTGAAGCGGTGAACTGGCACCATCTTTTTAGAAGTCATAAAAATTAGTTAATGTAGAAGGTGTAAACTAAGAATTCCAAGCCTAGTTTTCATTAGGCATTCTAGACTTGATTGCTCAGTTTAAGTGGGCTGCAAAGGTTTATTACCAAAGTACAAATTTAAAAATAATTAAGAATGAATTATTAAGAATTTTTTTATCTAGTCCTATCAACAATGGTAAGGCCTTTATGCCCTCTGCTCATGCTTTTGAATTTGCAAGTTCTGTGAAAGTTTTGTTTAGAACTTTATCAAAAAGACAACAATTACTCAAAAGTTTCTTAATATCAAATATATATTTTCCTCTCTGAGGTGTGAACAATATATTATGACTAGAAACAACGTTTGGAATTTTGAAGCAAAGTTTTTCTATACTATCTATCCATCTACAAAATAGATCCAATGTCAAATGATGATTTATCAAACCATATATTTAAACCAAATAGAAAGCATTAATTTTTTTCTCAACCAACAAGATTCTTTTTTTGCAAATACAAAGCACCAATTTATTATAAGGAAAACCATGTATAACATACGTCATCTTATCACTAGATTGACATAGTTTCACAAGATACATAACCAACCCAAACTTTCAAGCTTAGCACATAAGAAAACATGAAAATTACTTGAAATTACACACACAGACACAAGTTTGTGTTGTCTTAACCACTTTCAACAAGCTTTAAGGACAACACAGAGCATCCATTATTATAACTGCATGCATTGAATGCAAATGTAGTTAAATTATTAACGATTAAAAGTCTACCATTAAAAGTTAGCTCATGATTATTGTTAAATTTTCTCCTCACTTGTCTAGATATGCTCCAATTGCATTAAGATACCCGTTAGACCTTCCATAGAATCCGGTGATCTTGCCGGTAGATGATGGGAAATCAAATCTCTCCTTCCTCCACACCAAATTGTCCATGCCTTCTTTTGTTGCTTTGAAATCCAAGCGACCGGACAACAACTATGTTACCTACTTATCCATAGTACCCCCAAAATGAAACCAAATATTCATCCGGTTCTAATTTGACCTACATAAGTTATATTTGTAATAATAAAAAATAAAAAAGAAAAAAGAAAAAGAAAAAAAAGAAAGGGGTAAGTATGTATCTATGACATTCATATTTGCATAAATAAAAGCTTGAGTATTAAAATCTTCAACAAAAAAAATAGGAAATTGTTGTTATTATTACTGTAAAATGTATTAAATGGAATATTGCAAGCACGCACGCACGCACACACATATAAATTACCATGTTGAGTGTTCCGCCATCACTACCATGTTTTTCTCCCAATATTGGTTTTCCTTCAATATCATACACAACTTGGATGGAATTAATTAGACTTCCGAAGTGTATATTTAATTCCTTTACTGTGTTATACTTTCCGTCATCCCACTGCTGTCCAGCAGTAGTTCCAAATGGACCAACAACTATACCAACAACTAGGATTGGCTTAACGTATACTCCAATTGAATCTAAATAACCAGCATTCCGTCCAAAGAATCCAACAATCTTGCCAGTAACTACCGGTGTTATAAAAGGAGTTCCTTCTTCCACACCATATAGTCCATATTGCTTCACATTGCTTTGGATTGTAAGGGATTTCACTACAAGATATTTTTGAGGACTATACCCATGGTGTCCTGATATTGAAATAAGGTACTCAATAGGATAATTTAATTTCACTTGTAAGATTTCAATTAACAAGGATAAACTTAGGTAAATATGTACTACAAACACCATCAAATTCACAAACACAATCAAAACAAGGACAAAAAAAAAAAAAAAAAAAAAAAAAAAAAAAAAAAAAAAAACAACAACAACAACAACAACAACAAATAAAGAAGGTAATGTTCACGTTGAATATTGGCAAAAAGATTTTCACTTAAGTGAGGAAAAATAAAAAAAGATTACAGGTTTTCTAGCCTCCAATCTTTTGTTTCTCTCACACTACCTCGTCTTTTCAGATTTTCTTATATCACATTACAAAACTTGGTTACAATAGAGACTAGAATTCCGAAGCACAACCCCTAAGAAATAGTAGATTGAAATAAAAAAAAATTTGGAGGCAAAGGCCATAATGGGATCAAATTTGGGTTGCATCGGAACCAGACTGAAACAAAATTCAAATCACAAATTTTTAGGTTTGTATATTAAAATATGTATATATAGTTTGTATATTTCATAATGTGGATTGTGGAGTCCTTATTTATAGATATATCATTTATAGGGTGAGGGGAAGGAGTGCAGTGTATTTGACAAAATAGTAATAATAAAAACCTCAAAACAAACGGATAAGAACAATAACAGAAACATGAATCTATTCCATTTCACTATTTCAAGGGTAGTGTACACTATTTTTTTCTATTTTTTTTATGGAGACATGAAAATGATTTTATTTCGCGGGGGAGGGACAGCTGCCCTATTTTATTTTCCCTATTGAATCAATTTAGAATATTGAACATGATAGAGTAGTAATCCAAAAAACAAAAACGCAGTAACGGTCCATTAGTCAACGTTCAAATAATATGCCATTATTCCTAAAAATGTTATAGTAAAAACATTTCAAAAATATATAATACACACGTAACATGTTGAATTCATAAAATTATATTAATAAATTTAAATGAGTAGGTGAAGAAAAAAGGAAAGAAATTGGAGAACTTTGAAAAAAAAAAAAAAAAAAAAAAAAAAAAGAAGAAGAAAGGATTTGATTGAAAAAAAAATAGAAATACTCCATAGAACTTTTTCTTTTAAGGGAATCAAAGGAGTTAATAATAAAAGAGAAAAAAAAAAAAAAAAAAAAAAAAAAAAAGATAAGACATCGTTTTAGCAATTGAAAATTTTAGGAGATTATGAAAATCAAATTGCATATATATATATTACCTCGTTTGATGTTCCAGTGTTACCACCGTGCCTTTCTTTTCGATACTCTCTCTCCTTCAACATCATAGTCAACTTGGTTGGAAAAAATCTTCTGATCTAAATTGTACAATTAGTTTCCTTACAGTGGTATGGGTTCCTCCATCATCCCAATGCTTTCCTCCTGGACCACCATATGGCCCGCCAATAACTAATTGCACATTCGCCATGGAGTCTAAATAAAGAGTAGTGCTATTACGAGAGCGCGCTCGCAACAGCACTCACACGCACCCCTTTTTTAGCCGTAGGATGTGTCCATCTTGAGATTCGAGAACACAAAAGAAACATAACAGGCTCCGTTTCTCTCTCTTCTCGCAACGTTATCGTTCTGTGAACTAGTAGACCAACTTTTTATCTCTCTCCTCGCCCTGAACACGCTACCTCTTCTCTCTCCTCCGTCAGCAAAACATCTTCTCTCTCTTCCATATGTCTTTCATAAAATACACTGCTCTCTCTCATCGTCTCTGCAGACTCTCACTCTTTATTTCTTTCTATCAACAAATCAACCACTGATTAAGTCTGGGTGGGAAAAAGAGAACGTCGGTGAAGCTGATCGGAAAAGATAATTCTTTAAAAATTGAAGATTGACAAGACCGGCGAGTGAGGATGATCGGGAGACCACGAGTACTGAACGAAACTAAACCGGATAGACGCGGACTAAAACAGAAGCCGCGAAATTTACAGGCGTGCACTAGATTTTCTCTCTCTGACCTAGTTCCGGTGTTCGTTCTGGTTCTTCAAAGTCAGTATCGTTTAATCACCTTCAAAAACTCAACCACTAGTTTATTACCATCTGATTTTCCTTCAAAAACTCAAATCCACATTATCCCAGACTAATTTCTCAAATGATATGTTGTATTTTGGTTAGGGATTTTATTATATTATTTTAATTTTTCTGGATATAATACCTAGAGCAACAGAGAGGAAGGTGATTGAACTTTTGCGGGCTTTGGGGATTGTATTTTTGGGGCAGTTTTCAAGACTCACTTAAGCTACAGACCGCCACTCTGAAAGTTAATTGGCTTACCTCTTCATCAAATCCTCGCCGGTAAATCCTTTCTCACCGATAAAGTTAATTGGCTCCTTGGCTCTTCTCTCTCATGCTGCGGGTTCAAATCCTTGTTCGCCATCGCACAGTTCCGACCACGCCATCGTGTACGACAGTTTCGCGATCGTGAGTTCGACGAAATAGAGAAAGAGAGAGGAGAGAGAAGAAGACCCAGCCCAGAAAAAAAATAATAAAAAATTAACTAAAGTGACGTAGTAGAAAGTTAGGTTAAATGCCGTGAGAAGAGAGAGAAATGGAGTCATGTTCTTTTTTTTTTTAGTGTTACCGAATCTCAAGAAGACACATCCTATGGCTAAAAGGGGGTGCGCGTGAGTGCTATTGCTAGCGCGTGCTCGCAATAGCATTACTCCTAAATAAATGTAATACTTCAAATTAGTTTGCCTGTGAAAGTAATTAGATATTTATATATTTAAGAAAAAATAGAAAGGCCTGATTCTTTATTGAGAAATATAGATAAGAAAAGAGGCATGGTCAAGAGTACAGATAAAAAAAGAGGTATTGTCACGACTCATTTCATAATATATTGATATTGTTCGCTTTGCACATTCTCCTTTTAGTGTTCACAATTTTACTCAAATTTTGTTTATATAGATAATGCGTATCCACACATATACATTTTGACAACTTAAGTGATTTATAATTTATACATTATAAATTATTTCGTAACATTATTTCTTAAACAAATAATATTTCTTTTTTCACGTTGAACACCTATATGATACAATTGTGTCAGTAGTAAGTCACTAGACTAATTACGTACTTGTTGAAGGTATATTTACTTGCTAACTTTTTAAAGAGTAATACATAAATATGAATTTATGAGACCATGACTCAATAATAGTATAAGTGGAAAATTTGTCTTCGTTTTCTCTTGATACGTGAATATTTGTAGCCACTAATTGATTCTAGAGGAGGGGTGAATAGAGTCAATGCTTGATTTTTGCAATTTATAAAAAGTAATTTTCAACTAACTATTATGCAATAATCAATTGAGATATTCAAGCAACATATATCATAAGTGACAAGTATATAAATGAGATAGAGATAAGAAATTGCAAACAATAATTCGGCGATTTAGCGAGGTTCGGAAACTCCTACTCCTCGGCTCAAGGTCCCCCTTGAGACTTCCCAATTTCACTAGAGCTTCTCCTTAATGGTGGAGAGCAAACCTTCAATTTGAAGCAATTCCTTGCTTCTCTTCCTTGCTAGGAGAACACCCTTCTCCTAGGCTTTTTTTTGGATCACACCAACCCTTTACAATAACTTGTAATTGAAATGAAGTGTACAATGAATCTCTCAAAGATAGTAGTACAAAGTTTTGCTCACAACTATAGTAAAGATGAATATATATACCTTCCAAAAAATAAAAAATAAAAAAAATAAAAAAAGATGTATATATATCTGAAGCTCAGAATTACTATAGTGGAAAGAAATGTAACAGAGGAAATGAAAGTTCAATGAATGCTTCTTTAATGCTTTTCAAGAATGGTAGAATGCTCTCTGTAATGGTGTAATTATGTTGCAAACCAACCTCCGTATTTATAGATAAACGGAGTTCAATATAGCTGTTACAGGTGGTTGGGAAACAATAAATGAAAAAGTTTCCGTTGCAGTTCAAAACCCTAGAAGGAGCCGGCTCTTGTAAAACAAGAGGAGGTGGCTCCCTAGCCTTGAGAGCCGGCTCTCTAATGCATGGAGGCGGCTCTCAACCTCTAAGAGCTTGCTCCCTATTTTGGGAGCCTTCTCTTTGGTTGGAAACTTGAATTTTCGTTGAAAAAGGCTACTGGAATATTGAGAGCATGCTCTTTCTTTCAAGGAGCCTGCTCTTTGGTTATATGAGACTTAAAATAATTTTATTTAAGCCCTGTCTACACTTTATATGATGTGTGGCTCATGTATGATTGTGTTCATAAACTTTATGAGCTAATTTTAAGTTCTTTGAAAAATGAAGTGAGAATTTATGCATGAACAATAATTTTGAGCTTCAAAATATATTCAAATGAATTTTGACATTGAAACTTAAGCTCTCACCATCCTATCTACCCTTTTCTTCATTCTTTGACTATGATCGTTTAGGCTTGATGAAGACTTGCTTTCTTTCTTTGAAATGCTTGAATGATCTTTGAAGTCCGAGTTTTTCTTTAATTTCTTGCAACTTTAAGGCTTCCTTGAATCCATAGCTTGAGTACTTGGAATACTTGGAATGGATCTTCTAGCTCAACATTGAGGATTGAAGATTGATCAATTATATATCACTCAATGAAAATATTAGTACTTAAACATCATTAATGGTTTGTAATCATCAAAACATAAGACTGACCTTTAGATAAAATTCTTAGGCCAATATTCTCTCCCTTTTTGATGATGACAAAAAATTGATGTGTTTATTGTCAAGATGGAGTTGCATTTGAAAGAATGCTCCCCCTATCGATAAGCATATATTGAATTTATATCAACAACAAATATTTTAGACATTTAAGTGAATAAGTCTCCCCCTTTCAATATGTGTCTAAAAATATAAGTGAAAGGCAACATATGCATAAGCATAACAAGTATAATGAATCACACATCTTTCTCCCCCTTTGTCATCTCGAAAGGGTGAAAGAATAAAGTAGTTACTTACCATGTCATGAAATAGTAAAAAATGAAATATGGGACACATGAAGATATGGCAATAGCAAATATTTAATTTTATAGATGGTAGATTTCAATACATAAGGAGAATGTGAGCACAACTACCATATGACAGATAAAATCATATTTCATAAAACATAGCTAAAAGAAAATGACAGAGATAAATAAAACATAGCTAAAAGGATGCTTCTCTAAAGCAAATGTAGCAAGTGAGTGCTCACAGAAACAGGTTTGAAATGGAGGGATACTGATCTAAGGAGAAGGAGGTCCATATGTGCTTCGAAATTCTTGAAAATCCTCATTAAGATGAGTGACTATTATTTGCACTTCATCAAGTTGAGTTTGTTATTTTTCAAGAGTGGCTTGGTTTAGACGAGTGCCTTTAAGAATTTCCAACAAAAGATCACGATTGGTGCAATTTGCAGCCTGAACTTCCTCATCTTTAGCACTGTCATCACTTTCATGCTCTTCTTCCTCCCCATCATCAACATCCTCAATCTCTTCTCCTCTAGCTCTAGCCTCTTCGAACCTTCGTTGCCTAGGATAAAACCACACATCATTTGAATCCCTTTTTAGCCCCATTAACGTAAGATTTTTGGTAGTGAGCATGTGTCTTGATTCTAGTTCAACTGCTTCACGATTATCAAGCGGAATCTTCTTATCCATAAATATGTGAGTGAGAACCATGGCATAATAGAGAGAGACCTTTTTCTTTCTCTTGCATGCAAGTAAGTGATGAAAGATTATATCTGCAAGATCAAAGTGCTTTCCATTTAAGACACACCAGATAAGGAAGACTTCCATATGCGAGACTTTGGATCGACAGTCGGATTTAGGAAGAATGGAGTATATAATGACTTTATGAATCAATCAGGCTTCCATAGTCAATTGCTTTGTGTTTACCTCTAACTGGTCTACCGCACTACCATCAAGTTTAAGAGTGTGCATTAAGGCGAGGGCCAAGTTTTACATTTATAAAAGCCACTACTACCTTCACTAAAAATATAGTTAGGGTGAGTAGGGATCATCCCTAGGGATTATGAGGGTCGAACAAGGTTATGGAATCGCTATTAGGGCTAGTAGCTCGAGTGATCAAACAAACGGTTGGTTGGTTGATTAAACTAGAGAGCATATTAAACTAAACAATTGAATGCAATAAAGAGTAAGTAAAAGAGAGAGAGATCTTGGGGTTTCGAGGTTACCACTAAGCGATGCTTTTCTATACCCTTAACTAGTGACTAATGAGGGTAATGTGTGTTGCAATACTAATGTGTGTGTGTGTTTGGTTGATTCAATTAGCAAGGGTGACCAATTAAGCATGTATTATCTAAACATCATGTGAAAGGCACAATATACCTAAGCAATGAAGCATATATTGTCTAAACAACATGTGAAAGGCACAATAGATTAAAACAAGTCATTAATCCTTTAATTAAGCTCATAATCCAAATACAACACAAGGTTAGA